AAACGATTCGAGCTGGTTTACACGAGGGATCCATGCCGATCGGTGTATTTTAACGTCGTTTTATTTCCCTCGTTCTCAGGCCGCGTGATTTCGATGGGACGCTGGTTTAATGACCAATTTGCTTGGTGAGTGGGATCGAGATTGGGTTGGGGGTTGGATCCAGGGTGGTTTCGAAGATTTGGCATTTTTCACAGCGATTTTCTGCATTTTGTTTCAACGAAGTATTCGCGTGAGTTGGGGGAATTGTTTGCTTTCTTTTCGTGAGAAATATGACAGTACTGATATTTGTTAACTCTTTGGGGCACGCTGAAGTTAAAAGTGTTCCACCTTTTTAATGCACACGAGACATTTTTAGTCCCACCTCGAAATATTGCAATAGCTACATACGTATAGGTTTCTGATTCAGTCTAACTATGATCTCGAACGGAAGAAATGGAAAGGGGTAACGTTAGGTCTATTGCAACATTCTTTTTTTCCTAGTTTTATGTGAAAAATTGTGAAAGTAAGTTCATTTTTATGGAAATTATTTCTATACCAATTTTGTTTCATTTAAAACGCAATAAAATTTCTGTGCAACGTGGATCTATTTTATTATCCGAAATCCTGTGCCGCAAAGAGTTAAAAGAACAGTATACTCTAATTGAACAGTTTAATCTGTTCTGTTTTGTGTCTTATATGAAGTAAAACCAGCGATTAAATATATTACAGAAGAATAAAGTTATTTTATTACTTTACTTTTGGTTGAAGAAGATCTGTTAGTTGGAAGATAAGATTTCTTTTTATAGATTCTTTTTATGGTGTAGAGACATTATTCTAACCTCTGTAATGTACATTAAGTTGTGACTTAGGAAGGAATTTATGTATTTTTGTACAGTTCATTTTCGAATTTTACTTGTAGCATTGGTCATACCAGTGTACAATTATTAACATGTAATTAACACTGGATATGTGATTTCTAGGGAAGTAATGATTAAATTTAACGAATAATTTACAAAATTGACAATGTTTTCGACATCACATAAAGTGATTAAATAACATTTTCCGACATATTCAGTGCCAAGGAAATTAAATAAACTTCGCCTTTAGTAGTGGAATTTTAACAATGAACAACAAAGCTTCTTAAAATTTAATATAAATGAGTTGCAAATTTAGTTTTTAAATGGTATTTATAATTATTTGAAGATCAGAAAATGGATACTACGAAATATCTTGTAATTAACATTCAAAGTATATCTGTTAGTTGCCATATATATATTAAATTAGTTAATTTTCGTTTCGTTTCGTGACTCATCAGTTCACATCCTAAGTGGTTACATATTCACCTCGATATGTCAAAAAATTTCGGATATAGAAAGTAAAAATGCACTTACACGAATTTCATGTGAAATATTTCAATTGAAATGAACAAATGCTCAATTATTATTATATATTATATGTATCATCACTGATGATCACCGTGAAAGTCTACCTGTTAATAATATTAACCTCTAATGTTACTATAATCGGTTGTGTGTTAATATTAACACGTAGACTTCCACGGTGATCGTCAGTGACCAATGCTTGTCAGTTTTCTGAAAATTCAAACAGAAATAAATGAACGACATTGCGAAATGAAAAATCTTTGATTATATCACTGAATAATTCATTATATCCCAATAATAATGTAGAGAGTGTGTGGGTGTTAAATAATATATAAAACTATTTATTAACCATAAAATAATATACAATGTGCGGTGACGGTAAAGACTACGAATGTAGATAAGATATATCTTTCAACTAAACTCTTACAACTACAACGACACAATTATACCTAACAACACGATTACAACTAGCAACACGATAACAACTCACAACACGACTACAACCAACTCTGCAGCACTGTCTCTCAAGAAGAAACGCCTATCAAGAATCCTCTCTCACGAATCGTCCCTTAACCATTTCAGCCTTCCTTATATATTTCCTAAAAAGCCTCCCCCAACACGACCAAATATGGTCATGCTAAGGGCCTGACGCATCGCCGTGGTTTTTCCAAATGACCTGGCCCTCGAACCCTCGGCGACTTTCCAACCCAAAGTCACCTACACTCGAGATGGGCATTCCGCGATACTACAATAATGAAACTTGTCTTGTGACCTAATCGCACCATATTAAAAATTACTAATGCACTATGATACACGAATAAAATCGATGAAACAGTCAACCAAAATTTTAAAAACCAAGGCTATTATCGACAACCATTATAAAAATTCTCAGTCACCCATTTCAACCTTGCAACCCCATGGATCTCTACCCAACAGCATCACCTGAAACACCCGAGCCGTGTCATCAAACTTACCCACCTAACCCTATGATCCACTCGTTGGAATCACCTCGCTCGACTCCTCGTATCGTCGAAATTTATTCCGGCACGCGCGGAAATAAAAAGGAAAAGCAGGCGATGCAAATGAGCGTAAAGGGCCTGGCCACGATCGAGAACGAAATTCGGTCGCGTGACGATCCCGTGACAGTAGCACGTTCCCGAGATGCAGGAGACGAGAACTCGAGGAACCTTATTCAAATTCCGCCTGGTCGCGTATTAGAATTAGAATCGACGATTTCTGGACACGTGCCTGCGCATCGACGACCGTTCGAGACGCGGACGAGGAGCCTTCGAGTCTGCGAATGGAAAATATTCAAATTCCCCCGGGCCGGAGAGACACGAGCCGGAAGTGGCGCTTTGTGGCCTGGCCGTGATTTATTTGCATGATGCGACGGATACGGCGCAGCCTCCCTGGATTATAATTAAAATCGGGTACACGAGGCTGGAACGTGCGGCCGGAATTTATTTCCATGTCTATAAGTCGGAAGGGCGAGTTAGAGGCGTCTGGCGATGTGTTTGATTAGGTGCCCGATGCCTTCCGCCAGGATTTCGACACTCGATGACCCGTTTTCACGATACCGTGATGTGTCGGGTATGGGTGAATGTGTCGGGTAAATAGCTCGGGGCTGATACGCTGAATTAGTTAGGATTCGTGAATGGGAGTTGAAAGTTTGGTAGAATGGGGCTTGCGATAGGTGATTTATGTTGGGCCTGCGTTTGCAGGATTATGGCATCTGATCTTGTTACGCGGTATTTCGGCAAAGGAAATGACGAATCTTCGAGTAAATTGACGTTGCAAAGTCGAACGTTAAAACGTTGAGTCAAGTTTAAAATGAGAATTGTACTTTGTATGTAATTCTAATATGTGCAGGTATATCAGAGATCCATTTTTGGAAGTTGCATGTTGGGTAGAAGCAAATTTACTATGACTGATTTATATTGGGTTTCAGGATTATAGGATTTGATCTCGTTGCGTGGTACTATAAAAATTTGAAACGTTAAAATTTAATTTGGAAATGACGAGAAAGTGACAATTCTGCTTTATACCTAGCAGAGACATGTCTTTTCATAAACATAGTACAAATATGTGCAGGTATATCAAAGGTGCATTTTTGGAAGTTGCATGTTGGGTAGAAGCAAATTTACTATGACTGATTTATGTTGGGTTTCGGGATTATGGGATTTGATCTCGTTACGTGGTACTATAAAAATTTGAAACGTTAAAATTTAATTTGGAAATGACGAGAAAGTGACAATTCTGCTTTATACCTAGCAGAGACATGTCTTTTCATAAACATAGTACAAATATATGCAGGTATATCAAAGGTGCATTTTTGGAAGTTGCATGTTGGGTAGAAGGAAATTTACTATGACTGATTTATGTTGGGTTTCGGGATTATGGGATTTGATCTCGTTACGTGGTACTATAAAAATTTGAAACGTTAAAATTTAATTTGGGAATTAGAAGGAAGTGCAGTTCTATCTCATACCTAGCAGAGACATGTCTTTCCATAGACATAGTACAAATATATGCAGGTATATCAAAGGTGCATTTTTGGAAGTTGCATGTTGAGCATTTGCTATGGCTGATTTATGTTGGGTTTCAGGATTATGGGATTTGATCTCGTTACGTGGTACTATAAAAATTTAAAACGTTCAAATTTGATTGAAAATAACGAGGAAGTGGCAATTCTGCCTTGTACATAGCAGAGACATGTCTTTCCATAGACATAGTACAAATATGTGCAGGTATATCAGAGTTATATGTTGGGTAGAAGGAAATTTACTATGGCTGATTTATGTTGGATTTCGGAATTATGGAATTTGATCTCGTTACGTGGTACTATAAAAATTTGAAACGTTAAAATTTAATTTGGAAATTAGAAGGAAGTGCAGTTCTCTCTCATACCTAGCAGAGACGAGTCTCTTCATAGACATGTTATCGATGTTTCAACGAAACATGTTAAATACAGTTAATTCTTTCTTATTCGTCAGTTTATTAACTCGTATCGAAATAAACTTATAAGACCTAAGACTGACGGTAATAAAATTTTTTTAAGTATCGACAGTCTTTTGCTTTAAATATGGGGCATGATGGGACTCATCTATTAGCACACGTCGCATAAATATATAGTATCTTCATCTTCATCTCCATCTTCCTCCATGGCACAGTCTAATCTATAAATATCTCAAGAAATATTCCGCTGATAATATCCAACAATTAATATTGTCACAAATTGATGCTTGCTAACGTCCAAGAAGTGGCTGATATTGAGATCATAATCAGAAACAGGAAAATGTGCACCAGACTCGTAAAGTCACTATAGGTGAACCATGATGTCGAGCAGGATTTCAAATTTTCTTATCGAATCTTAATTTTTTTTTACAATATTTTTAGTTCTTTTTAGCATCAGAATCATCATCTTTGCCAAAACGGCAAAAGGAATTTATTCCACGAATAATTTCACCTAACGGATCATTCCAAATAGATCACACAAGTGGCTCGCTCTCCACTGAAAATAAAACCACGTACCCTAAATGAATATTCAAAGATTATCACTCATCGATACTGTTTCGTTTATAGGTGGAAGCGTTAGTGGGATATTAAGGCCACTTTCAGTTTTTAAATGGAAGGCTTTCAGGGCGGGTTGAACGATCTACAAGACAAGGTACGTGCGCACAAATTTCAGTCGAAGATCCATGGATCGAAGCATCCTTCTGATAATTCCTCCTTGGTATTTACGTTCCACAGTGTGCTGTAACTGTCTTCAAAAACACGAAACCCATAATTATTTAAATTATTACAAATTTATGATAACTATATATTAGGTAGGAAGTATCAACCATATTTCAGCTTCGAAGAGATATATTTCAAAAACAGCATAAACTATAATAGTTTTTAATTTGTTGTTTGTATTGGATGAGAATGGATACATTTGTATCGTTGTGTCATCTAATGTAATCTTATTTGATACTCAGTAAGTGAGTATGAGGAGAGGAGATGTTCATTCATAGAGTAACCAGGTGTTAATTAAGGTTATGTATCACTGACAATTCCAGAAAGACTGATTATATTGAAATAATATAAATAAAACCAAGTCTGCTTACTATTATTTTAACAGTTTGCTATTGTAGGAATTTGCAATTCTTTTATTTATGCAAAATTTTTAGCTCACCACGATATTAGTCAATACAAAATGTCAATAGAATCAAATTATTCAATAAAAATCTATAGAAATCTAAATTGGCTAGAGTAGAACCTATAGATTTTGATTCTTTTATCTATGCAAAATTTTTAGCTCACCATTATATTACTCGAAAAATGTCAATACAAGCAAATTAATCAAATTAATTTTTAAATTTCTACGTGTTAGTAAGGCGAGGTTAGGATAACGAAACACACACAAGATCTTTAGTTGCAATAATAATATAATTGTACAATACTATAAAAAGGATTGGGCACTCACTATATACATTACAATACTCGTTGTTTCTCACATACTGGTATTGCTCAAACTAACTCATATCCATAAATCGCATTAGCGTTGAAACACTGTTTCAATCACTTATCGACGACCACAAATTGGAAATTTTAGGCGAGGCCCCAAAATTTCTAGGAATTCGCAAATTCCTACAAATTCTGAGAGTTCATCCGGGATTTGCGAATTCTTATAAATTTTTGGGGACTCGTTCGAGATTTGCAAATCGTAGCCATTTATAAGTAATTAAAACAGTGTTGTAATGCGAACGCGATTTATGATAAGAAACCCTACAATTTCCGAGGGCTCGTCCTTGATTTGCGAATTCCTACAAATTTTGAGGTCTCATTCGAAATTTGAAAACCGTAACCATTGATAAGTAATTGAAACAGTATTGCGACGCAAATACGATTTACGGATATGAACCCTACAAATTCTGAAGACTCATTCAGTATTTGCGAATTTCAACACTATATTTTGAAATACCAATTTAGAATAACACTCTTGTACCAAATAACAGCGAATTACCAAAAAGAAAATTGAGAAATTGGGGCTAATAATTACCAAAAAAATTCGAAGAAATAGAAGAATCCCCTAAATTTCTCGTAAAATATATTTAACAATTCGCTCGCTTCATATTCATCGTACAATTCTCCCCGAATTTTCAATAATTCATGAATATCTAGAGCTTTAGAACACATATATATTCGGCTTCCGTGTTTTCCTCCAGTTCTGCCGGACACTGCGTTCCTCCAAGCAATCCTCCACTCCCGTTCGCACGAGACGTACCCTGGAACGCGTGACTCGAGTCGGTTGCACGAGTCGAGGGGGTTGGAACGGATCGAGAACCGTTTAAAACCGTAATGGCCGTTACGCGTATCGAGGAATCGGCGTAGCACGTTCTCGACAAAGGGGCTTTCATCCGCGCCAGGGACCTCTGCGTATGCAAATTCGCTGCTAGATCCATGGCAGCACGCGACCCGACGCAGCCTCGAATTCACATTCAAATTTCCCGCTGTGCCACGTTTTTTCCATCCTCCGTTTCCACGTGCAGCGTGCACTTGTTACCCTGCGAAGGGTAAGGATGGGGAGGACGAAGGAAAGAATGGGGATGCCCGATGGCGCCGAACACAGGGATTTCTCAGTCTGTTAATGACGAAAGAGCAATCACTGCATTGATAGCTGACACAGGTATGGAGAAATTTCACCTGGATGGACGGTTCTTTGAAGAAACCAAAGATCCAAGAGAGAGTGGGGATGGATAATGAAAAATAGGTTTTAATAGGAATTTTATTTCTTCTCTTTAAAGGTAATTTAAATTACCTATAACTTTAGTAACATAGCCAACGTTTGTAGTTGCAATAAAATTATTTATTTAATTTGTAGCATTTGGGTGATTAAATTAATTTCCAATTAAAAAATTATTAAATTAATTTTTGTAAAAATATATTTGTTTATATATTATATAAAATTCAAAATTTATATTTTAATTTCGACTTCAAAATTTGACTCGATGCTTTAGATTTTTCTATGGTGTTGTTCTGTGTTTAAATGAATATTAAGAGCAAGCTTCGAATCAAGGAAATGTTAGTGGTGGATGAAATATCAATAACAATAAAAATAATTGTTTATTTAATTACAAGAAATGATCAAACACAAATATTAAGTATAAATCTAATTAATTTCTTGCAATCATATGCTCATACCTATTTTTGCTATTAAGACTCAATTATAGTATTATTACTAATTTTAATTATTTATTATATACACTGTTACTAATTTTTAATTACTAAATTTGCACTGTTACTGGCCTGTGCTCAATCTCTCTGGTTAGTTCTTTCTACTTTCATACATTACATGAACACACACAATTCACACAACACCTCAATCAATTAACCTGAACCTATTAGATATTGGTATCCCATGCATACTTGTCCAACTCATGCCTTTCTTACAGTCATCGCTTCTTTATTATATATTATCAACACATATATATTCAAAATCTATGTTAATCATTACCACGATAGAAATTAATTCAAATTTCATTGATTCAAATTTGACTATCTATCATGTTTGGATAAATGTTAATAGTAAATTTGAAGCCGAGAGAAGAATGAATTTATAAAACAAGGTTTAAATTTAATACTGATTAAAAGTGATTAATTTTACATTTTGAATATGTAAAATGTTCCTTCATTTGGTTACTTATTACTCCACCTAATAGCTCATACCATAACAAGTATATTTGCCAATGTAAAAAATATTTAAAGTACTTCTCTCCTCGTTATAATTGAAACATCATTACTACCTGATGGACGAAAAATACAGGACCGAAAATTTCCGCAAAAACATTGGCCAAAGCCAGAAATTATTACCCGCGGGGAAAAGAGATTCGATTTAAGCACGCGAATTTTTATTTCCACCATAAGTAAGCCATCCGCATACTCATCTCGTTCCTCAAAGTATTCATACCATCCCGATCCTCCGTCTTCCACAACTTTTTCTCAACCAGTCCTCGGAGCGTCCAGCAGATTGCAAACGATCATCCAGAGCATGGGAAGAGATTTCGAGGGGCACCTCGTCAAGGCCCCCTCCCCCCGTGGCAGCAGCAACAGCAGCAGCAGCTCGGAATCCTCGTTTCTGCTTGCTCGATATAACGAACGGGCCACTATCCTCGTCGTCTCGGTATTAGTATGCATTCTTGTGAGAGTCAAGCCGGGCCAGTAGCTCTGTTTCACCCGGCATTCCCACACCTATGCTCGCCTGTGCCCTTAATTCCCCGCCATTGTCCCCCAGCTGGTCCAGACAGATACACCGAGCTAAAAGAGAGCCGAGAGATACACACGCGGTGAGTTGTCACTTCTGCCATCCTAGGGCCAGGTTCACGGCAGCCTTAAGCAGAGGAGAGACCAGAATGAATGCGTATGGATCGGTTCGTGAGGTCTGCGATCTCCAAGGTGAATAGAGGTGCGCGCCGGGGCAACTGAAAGCGAAGGGGCTGCTTCCCTTCTGAGACAATAATAGAAACAGTGCCGGCACCCTTGCCACGACCCAAATACCTCGAAATACATGATACACGACGAGCCTCTGCTCCATTTCTCCCATTTCTTCCCTCACCCCCTCCCGTTCTCACCCTCTGGCTTGCCAGGTTCCTCTCTATCCGTCTCAACGATACAATTAAAGTACGTTGCGGTCTTTAAAGCCTGCAACCCCCACCCTGCCTCATCCCCGGACCCTTTCTCTCTAGGTGCAGATCCTTCGATTTATGCGAGCGAAAGGGGTGAAAGAGGAAATCTGGGCCAGTCTTCCTCTACCTGTTCCACGGGTCCGTGAGGCTTTCTTTCTCCATTTATTATCCTATTCCACGTCCTCGTTACACCCAGTCCGATACACACGCCGATCGTCACCCGATCGATAGGCTCCTCTATGCCACCGACGTAACCGAATCTTCGTCACCCTTCGATCCGTCGGTTCCAGGGGGTACGCAGCGCGCAGCTTTGCTCGCAGATTCTTTGATTTGTGGGATCGTTTGCTCGTTGCCCCACGGTGCATAATTCCGATTGATTATCGTGAATGCGCGGCGTCGGGATCGAGTGGGCCGGAAGTCGGCTTCATCCCCCTTCGACCGTTGCCTATTAGCGACTTCGATCCGATCGGAATCGGGTTCCTGGCCTTTGTCCCGCCAGTCGGTGTAACGATTTTTGTCTCCAGGTAGCAAACGCGATCGGCTCCTCCGCGGAGCGTGTCTTCCTTGACAAATGATGACTTATTTCTTCCTCGTCGTCTTGTCGTAAATTCGTCGCTGCATTGTCGGGCAGAGAAATCGCGGATGAGAGAATTCTCGGTGGTTGATTTCTAAATGTAGATTTCGAAAGGGGAATAAATTGTCTAGACAGTTGCTTGGCGAGCGTGCGGGCTCGTAGAAACATTGAATTTCTCGGTTCGAACAGGAACAAAGTTCCGTTTCTTCGTTCAGCCCCGATGACCTATCGGCCATTCGATGTCCAGCCAGGGGCAGCAGAGGGAAAACAAAAACAGCTGACTTCTTGGAGTCTGATAAAGACGTGGCTAGTCTGCCAGGAGGCAAGCTTCGAAAGTGAAAATTGCGAAGAAGAAATACCCGGTGGAATTTTCAACGCGTTTTTGCCAGACCGATGTTTGGTATTATCGAGGTCAATAGCTGTGTTAAT